TATTTGGGGAAGGGGTGCCGGGAGGTAGCCCTCAGTGGGTGTTCCCCACCTCCACCCCAGAGTACAAGAAGAGCTTCGAGAATGACGCCCAGAGCAGTGACAACATCAACTTCCTCAAAGTGCAGTGGTCCTCACGCCAGCTGCCCACGGTGAGGCTGCAGGCAGGGCCTGGGCTTGTGGGTGAGGGCACAGACAGGGGTGTGGCGGAGCACATTCAGGGCCTGCCTGGGAGGACAGGCAGAGCCTGCAGAGCACGTGTGTGTGTGCGTGTCAGGGTGCAGGGGTTGGGCATGAGTGAGGAGAGGGCGTTTGCTTTCTTTGGGGGCTGTGGGACCAAGTTACAGTTTGTTCATTCGTTTAATAAAGACTTCTTGAGTCTTGGCTAAATGTCAGGTCCTGTGTTGGCCATTGAAGATGCAGAACATTAATTAGTTACAATGCTGTTAAGTGCTATGAAAGGCCCATGCAGGGCTGTGTCTTCTCCATTAAGGATTTGGGGTCTTTCCTTAAGAGCTGAGTGGGAGTGATCATGCATGACCCTGAGGTAGCGGTGAGTGGGGTTGGGCAGGAGGGGCTCCTGAGGGCTTTGTTTCTCACTGGGACTCTCCGCTCTCCAGCTCAAGCCGATCCTGGCTGATATCGAGTACCTGCAGGACCAGCACCTCCTACTCACAGTCAAGTCCATGGATGGCTATGAATCCTATGGTGAGGGGCAAGGGGTGCCAAAGAGCACAGGAAGCCATGTGGGGCCCTAGAAAGGTTTGGCAATTTGTTGGTTTGCCCTTCAGGGGAGTGCGTGGTGGCTCTCAAGTCTATGATTGGTAGCACGGCCCAGCAGTTCCTGACCTTCCTGTCCCACCGTGGCGAGGAGACAGGCAACATCCGTGGCTCCATGAAGGTGCGGGTGCCCACAGAGCGCCTGGGCACCCGTGAGCGACTCTACGGTGGGGGCTCAATTGGGAGGGGTGTGGGGCATGAGATGAGGTGGTGTGGGTAGGTCTAAGGAGAGGAGGCCAGGGGTGTGGGGGGGCATGCTGGAACACCTGGAATATAGTGTTTGGAAGTTCTGCAGCCATGGCCGGGACTGGGCCTGCCCTGAGGAGTAGCTGGGAAGGGGCCAGAAAGTCAGTGGGTGTCTGGGATCCAGGACCGTAAGTCCTCTCTGAGTCCTCGTTCCTTTTCTCCCCAGAGTGGATCAGCATCGATAAGGATGAGGCAGGAACAAAGAGCAAAGCCCCCTCTGTGTCCCGAGGTAGCCAGGAGCCCAGGTGAGCTGGGGCTGTGCTGTGTCGGATGTCATGTGAAGGGTACCTGGGGTCTTTTGGTCAGCCCCTACTTCATTTCTCCTGTGCTCTGCACCCCTGGAAGGTCAGGGAGCCGAAAGCCAGCCCCCACAGAGGCCTTCTGCCCTCTGTCCAAGTTATTTGAAGAACCAGAGAAACCACCACCAACTGGGAGGCCACCAGCCCCACCTCGAGCTGCTCCCCGAGAGGAGCCCTTGACCCCCAGGTGAGAGAAAGAGCTGTCATCACCCCACTTGATCCATCATTGTGCTTGGCTCTCTGGGTCAGCCTGGGGATTGTCTGCTGCTTGGGTGCTCTGCCACCCCATGGCCCTGTGCCCACGGCCACTCTGGCCAGCCAGGCCTCCCTTAGGTGTGGCTCTCTGAGTCAAAGGGAGCACAGTCAGCCTTTCCTCTCAATTCTGCCTTAAAAAATTGAATTTAAAATCGTTTCTGCAACAGCTCCCTCCACATAAACAGAATTAGTGTGAGCCTTCTGTGTGGAGAAGGCACATGCCTCAGCTCGGGACTTCCCTCTGTGCTTTCTTTGGGCACTGACTCACAAATGCCCACCCTGCAAACGGGTTTGTGGGCAAATGAGTTTGGAAATGATTCTTGCTAGATTCTTTTCTTAGATAGTTCCTGTGCACATTAGTATTTAGGAAAAGCTCTGAACGTGTGGACAGGAAGGAAACCCTTTTTCAACTCTGTTGAATATAGTTTCCCAAACTTAACGGGCCAGGAAACTTCTTTTCCACCCAATAACTATTAATATCCTGGGGAACTAGTGTTCTGTGGATCATACTTTGGGAAGTGAGGCTTGCTTTCTGATCATATCTAATTGTTGCTTGAACTTAAGAACCTAGGTCTAGCTTGGTGCTTCTTCACTCATCTTCAGCTGTTATCAGTCATCTTGGTTTTATTGCCAGGTACACTGTGTAAAACTAGCCTGAATTCCTGAGTAAGAGTCCTCAGTAGATGGGCAGGTCAGCCCTCATGCCTCCAGAGGTTTTTCCAAATCGGCCTGGTTGTTCTCATTAAAGGCCTATATCGCCCTGCCTTCTAGCACCTCTTTTCACACCTTTAAGCTCAGGTTTCAAAGTTACAAAGTCATAAAAGATCTGAGAATCTCAGTGAGTGAGGCAAGGAAGTTTAAGTGATATCCGTTCAGCTCCTGATTTTAGAGATAAGGACAGCAAGGGCAAGAGAGGGAAAGTGATATGCTCATGGTCACATGCAAGCCTAGGACTAGGGACTGTGTCTTCTGACTCCCGGGCTGGTTTACCTTCTGCTGCACCCACTACTTTCACTTTGGGTTTCTGGGTCCTGATCTAGTTATCCTGCTCCCTAACCCAGGCTGAAGCCAGAGGGGGCTCCAGAGCCTGAAGGCGTGGCCACTCCTCCACCCAAGAACAGCTTCAATAACCCTGCCTACTACGTCCTTGAAGGGGTCCCACACCAGCTGCTGCCCCCAGAGCCACCTCCACCTGTGAGGGCCCCTGTCCCACCTGCCACCAAGAACAAGGTGGCCATCACAGTGCCTGCTCCACAGCTTGGGCGCCACCGGCCTCCCCGTGTAGGAGAGGGGAGCTCATCAGATGAGGAGTCTGGGGGCACACTGCCTCCTCCAGACTTTCCACCCCCACCACTGCCAGACGCGGCCATCTTCCTGCCTCCAAACCTGGATCCTTTGCCAGGGCCAGTTGTACGGGGCCGTAGTGGGGGTGAGGCCCGTGGCCCACCACCTCCTAAGGCCCATCCAAGACCCCCACTACCCCCTGGCCCCTCACCCACTAGCACTTTCCTGGGGGAGGTAGCCAGTGGGGACGATCGCTCCTGCTCAGTGCTGCAGATGGCCAAGACACTGAGCGAGGTGGACTACGCTCCTTCTGGGCCTGGCCGCTCAGTGCTCCTGCCAGGCCCCCTGGAGCTGCAGCCACCCAGGGGACTGCCCTCAGACTATGGCCGGCCTCTCAGCTTTCCTCCACCTCGCATCCGAGAGAGCATCCAGGAGGACCTGGCAGAGGAGGTGTGTGGACCAGGGGTGGCTGGCTGTGTATACCTGAGGTGTGTGCTTGCCCATGGACTGCGGTATCCTTTTACCCCACCTCTCAGCACTGGTGTCCTCTCTACCCTGAGCTGGGCACTGGGGAGTTGGGAAACAGGAATTAGCTCCAGTCCTGGCCTCCCTGCCCCCAACCCCAGAACCTGTGGTAGAACGTGGCAGTCTTTCAGCGCTTCTGTATATGTGGGCACCCCAATGCTCTCTCCCTGACATGCCCTATTCCTTCAGGCTCCGTGCCCGCAGAGCGGGCGGGCAGGCGCGCTGGGTGAGGCGGGCATGGGCGCCTGGCTTCGGGCCATCGGCTTGGAGCGCTATGAGGAGGGCCTGGTGCACAATGGCTGGGACGACCTGGAGTTTCTCAGGTGGGGGTGGGGCTGGAGGCAAGTGGGGTGGGGCTTGCTGGGTGGGGAGGGGGGCGGAAGTTTAGGTATTATTCACTCTGGACCACTTGGCCCATCTCTCAGCCTCTTACCCTTTCCTACAGCGACATCACCGAGGAGGACCTGGAGGAGGCCGGGGTGCAGGACCCGGCTCACAAGCGCCTCCTTCTGGACACCCTGCAGCTCAGCAAGTGATAGCGGTGGCACTGTGAAGATGAGAATTCAGCGCTCCTCCCTAACCCCACGAAGACCCAGCCATGGCCTCCAAGTTGAAAATTTATGAGGGGTGGGGCAGTACCTCTCTACCTATTTATTGGGGATCTGTATTCCCCACTGCCCAATCGTTTGGAATACCCTAATTAGGATGTCCTGCCCCTTCTTTTACAGGGGTGGGGGGCGCCAGAGACCAGTTGCCATGGTTACCAAGGACCTTGGTTATTCTGGTGCGGTCATCCCTTTCTGGACCCTTCCTCTCAGCCCCAGGGTACCCGAGGGGTTCATTTGGGTACGTTTGGGCCCCCACTTTCACAACTGTTTCCTCCAGCCTGAACCACAGTGGGAGGGGATCAGCTAGGACCTCTCCCCACACCCCACTCTGGGGTGTCCATCCGGAAATGAAGGAACAGCCCAAGTACCGGGCTGGGGTTTATTTAAGCTTTTCTGTGTGGGTTTAGGGAGGGTGGGCACTTTAATATTATTGGGGCTGGTTGGGGGAGGGAGGTGGATCTCTGCCATAAAGTGCCGGTTTGCTTAGATCTCACTGTCTCCTGGTGTATGTGTAAGCAGCCTTGGGTCCTCGCTGGTCGCAGGTCGCAGGAGAGACCCAGCTCTTGCAGGCAGCCAGCCTATCCCTGTCCTGAATACTCAGAGGGGTTACCAGCATGATGTCTTCAATAAATTAAGTTTTATTTGGATTGAGCAAAACTCACCTCAATAAATTACAAGTTTTTCAAAGGAAAACAACAACAAAAAAAAATTAGGAGGAAACCCCTCTGTCCTGGCAGCCCCCCCACCCCCACTCCTCTAAGGGGCCTACCTTCTGGGCCAGACTGATGGGAGAATACACTAAGGGACAAGTTGGTGGGACCCTTCCGGCTGCTGATTATCCTGGTGATCTTTGCATGGGTGGGCCTGAGGGGTGGGGCAGCTGGCTGGTCATCAAGGTGGGAGACTCAGCCTGCTGCAAAGTGAGGGGAGAAGGCCGGGTTCCTCCTTGAGGACCCTCACGCGTGAGCACTGTTAGGGACAGGCAGTGATTTGATCCCAGTTCCAAAGAAAGCCAAACTAGAGGGTCTTTGGGCTCTCATTGGAGGAAGGGTTGGGGGCGTCCCAGTGAAAAGTACCCCACTCTGCTGGTTGAGGACAAGAGTGGCTCTGACTTGCTCTCCAAAACTGGGGAGGGGACACCTAGGGGTCAGACACGGTGGGAGGTGAGGACGTATGGGGGTTTCCAGGTAGGCGGCCAGATGGGGAGGGACTTTGTCAGGTCTTGGAGGGGTATGGGGCGTCTCTGGGGCCAGGCCCGGAGCCTCCAGAGTCCAGCGGCTAGAAGAGATTGGTCTTCAGGGTGGGGCCGGGCTTCCGGTGAAAGGAGGACAGAACCCCGGAGAAGGGCCCGGGCCCCGGCTCTGCTGGCTGCCAGGCCTTAAGCAGCTCCGCAGCGCCGGGCCCGCCGCCCCCACCGCCCGCCACGCCCGCCCACAAAGGGCCCTTGAGCGGCTGTGGCCCCGGGCCCGGGCCAGGACCGGAGCCAAGGGCAGCGGGCAGTGGGCTGGGGCTCAGGCGCGGGCTGGCCAGGCCGGGCGCGGGCGGCGGCGGCAACGACGCGGTGCTGTCGGGCGTGGGGCTGCACGTGGACTCCTTGGAGTCGTCGTCCTCTGACGAGCAGCGTGCCTCGCCCTTCTTGGCGCCCGTGGCGCCTGCCGCACCCTTGGCGCTAGCCGCGCGCTCCTGTTTTCGGAACTTGGCCCGGCGGTTCTGGAACCAGACCTGCGGGCACAGGGGCCGGTCAGCCCGAGGACGCCAGGCGTGAGTGAGCCTTCGGTCTGGAAGGGGCCGGGTCAGGATGCGTGGCCCCGGCTTCCGAGCGTGGCCCCTCTGCCTTCCACCACTCAGCTCGTGGCCCTCTTCGCTTCTCCTCCCCACCTGCCCTTTCCTCCAGGTCCTTACGGTCTTCGCCTTAGGATCTGCTCACCCGCAGACCCGGTTGGAGGGGCTCCACCTTCGCTCCCTCATCACCTAAGGCCCTGCACACACACACCCTCCCCGATTCCCTTCTACAAGACTCTCCGGAGTACCTGCCTGGAGTGTCCCACGGCAGCAGAGAGCGGCTTAGGGCACTAGAGGAAATCTTTTGTTTCCAGTTAAGGCGGGCCAGCTGGACACTGTATTCGGATTTGTAAGACAGGCATCAGAGTCCGCCCTGACCCGGCTCCTCCGCCATGCGCCGGGGCTTTTCAGGCTCAGGAGTTTCACAGCTGCAGAGCTGGGGAGGGGACTTGGCGCTGACCCCCCCCCCCCCCACACACACACACACTCCTCTACCTTGCTGGGAACTGAGGCCGCCTGGGGCATCCCCTATACAGACTCAGCGACTCCGTTCTGGCTCCCCAAGCACCACTCTGCATGCCCGGCCCTATCAGGGGGACTGAAGGAAAATCGTGGGTCTGACCAACTCAATTCTCCCGAGGGCCTGAGGCCTGCTACGTCTTGATCCCAACACCTCTCCAGGCTGCCAGTCCTGCCTCTCGCCCAATTACCCCGCCTGCACCCGGCCCCAGGCTCTCGCTAGCTCTCCGCCTGCAGGCTACACCTACTCTCCGTCAAAGTGAGGCCCCTCTGCCCCGCGGCCCCACAGGTGTCGGGCAGTAACCGCCAGCCCTTTCCAAGCACACACTCCCGTACACACGGGCACAAACACGCACCTGCACGCGAGCCTCAGTGAGGTCAATCTTGAGTGCCAGCTCCTCCCGCGTGTAAATGTCCGGATAGTGGGTTTCCGCGAAGACTCGCTCTAGCTCCTTGAGCTGCGCGCTCGTGAACGTGGTACGGATGCGCCTCTGCTTCCGCTTCTCGTGCAGGCCCGACGGCTCCGGGAAGAACTTGTACGGCACTACAGGTGTGCGCGGGAGGGGGGGCAACCGGGATGGGAGTGTGAAGGGCTGCGCTCAGCCCGCTGTGTCCTGCCCCTGAGAAGATCGCTCACGTCTCCCGCCCCTGGCCTGGCCCCTCGGCTTCCTCCTCTCAGCCTCGGATCGAGCGTCTTCTCTATCACTCGCTGGAGCCCGCAAGGGTGAAGGCGGACATGGCGCAGTAAGACCCAAAAGCAGCAGCGAGGGAGACAGAATCTGACCCTCCTGTCAACGCCGTTGACCTGTGGTCGGCCTTCGCCCTGTTCCCTCCACCTCTCGCCATTCCACCAACCCCTCGGACCTTTCCATCAGCGTGTCTCTCCCTCAGCCAGTCTGCCGACTTGGCTTCAGGTCCTGCCCTGTCCACCCTAGCCCTGGCTGGCTATCAGGTCTCATCAGCAATGAGACTCTCCTAGTAACCAGTCCTGGACCAAGGCAGGGCGGCTGAGACTCCCGTGCTCCTGCCATAGGCTCTTGTGTAGGATCTCGCCCTCTCTACCCGGTCATGTCCCTCTTTCCCAGGCCTCATTCTCTTCCAGGTGTCCCCTTCTCTTCCTCATTTCTCCATACCAGTCTCTCTCTAACTTTCCCCTCTGGACCATTCTCTTGGTGCCCCTTGGAAGTGCCCTTGTTTCTCCCCACTCAGTTCCCTCCATCTTCTCTTTACCCTTCTTCCTCCCAGACTGAGTTGAGACACAGCCCCTCTCTGTGTCTCAACTGCCCAAAGCTGGACCCACCCTTCCCCCTCACTCTCTTCCCATCCTTGTCTCCCAGCTACCTCATCTCAGTCCCCACTCCCATAGACAGTGTTCTGACACTGTCTCCCCATCCCTCTCTCCAATCCCCACTTAGGTCTTCATATTTCCCAGGGGTCTCCAATGTCCTTCATCTTTGTCCTAGCACCCTAGTTCTCTCTCCCCTAATTTTTGTCTCTAATACTCCATCCCATCCCCATCTTTCTTATCTCCCTTCATCTCCATCTCTCATACTTCCTGTCTCCACCACCTAGTTCCTATCTCCATCTTCCCATCCTTGGGTCTCCATTTCTCCCAGCGTCCCCAATCTCCCCATCTTGGCTCACATCCCTCTGAACCTGTCCCTATCTCCCCCATCTCAGAACTCCATCTTTCTGGGGCCCATCTCCCCATTTTCTTTCTCCATTTCCCAGTACCCATCTGCATCAGGCCCAGAGCACCCAATCTCCCCATCCCTGTTCCAGTTTCTGGCTCCATCTCTCTGGATCTCATTTCTCCAAATCCAGATCTCTATCTCACCCCACCCCCACCCCCACTCTCACCACCCCCTCCCAGGCCTAAATCTTCTACTTGGGTCCTGGTGGTCTTTTCAGGGAGGAAGGAGATAAGGAGATTGGGTGGGGCAGCCTGGACAGTAATCGGAGGGATAGGGGTGGCTGAGAGGCTCCATGAAGCTGAGGGTTCAGATGAGGACTTGGATCAAGGGGCCTGAAGGTTGTAGGGGCAGCTTCTGAGTTCTGCAGGACTCTAGCTGGGAGAGTCTCCAGGGGTAGGAAAATGAAAGTGGCTTAATGACCTGGGCACCCTTTTCTTCAGGTCATGGAATGGGTTTCAGTGGTGGAAGAGGGTTTTAGTACAGGTAGGATGGGTCCAAAACAAGGCAGGAGGGGCCTGAAGGTTTTCATCTGGGCAGCTCAGTTGCTGGATTGTCCTTGCTGGGTGTCAGGCATGAAGTGAGGTGGTGATGATAAGGATGGGGGTCTGCTTAAACTGAGCCGGGAGCATCTTCCAAGGATACAGAGGATTGAGAGATTTGGCGGTCAGTCTTTGCAGGCGGGGAGGGGAGGTCCTGGTGAGAGGCCTGGGGCTGGACCGCTTGGCTATCTGTGTCCTAGACCCTAAGAGTATGGGATAGGGATGTGGCAGCTGGGAAGGATGAGAGGGTGGGGCTCACTCTGTGTAGGGTAACCCCGTCTTGCAGGAGGACTGGGGGTCCAGCGGATCATTGGAGGGTCTGGCCAGGGCAGGGATGGTGGTGGCTCTGGGGGACTGTCTTATTAATCACTTGCTGAGTAGGGAAGGGGCTGGGAGTTCCGCAGGATTTGGAACGAGGATTGGGCCGGGGCTGGGCTCACCTGCCGAGTAGGGCGCGGGCTGGTGGTCGCGTAGAGCGCCAAGCGCGCAGTTGGAGGAGCCGAGCGCGGGGCAGGGCGGCCCGGCCGCGGGGAAGGCGGGCCGAAGGGGGCTGTATTGGAAGCCGCCGGGCTGGCTGCAGGCGCCGAAGTCGCCGTAGGCGGACGCCTCCATGGCCGCCACGCACGAGTCGTACGAATTGAGGTAGGAGTAGTCCATCGGCCTGGGGGTCGAGGACGGGGGCCGGGCCAAGCCGGGTCGGGGTCAGGGTCCCGGGCCGGGTGCAGGTCGGGATAGGAGTTCGAGTGCCAAGCGCCGAGGACCCGAGTCCGGCTCTGAACGCCCACGAGTCCGCCCGCCCCGTCGCGGCCGCGTTCCACCCGGGTGCAGCGCAAGTGCAGCCCTGCTCGGCCCGCGCGCCTTTTAACGCGCAGGACCCCGCCGAGGGGGCGGGGCGAGCTCCTCGGGGCGGGGCCTGGATGTCTCAGGCCCCTCCCCCAGCCGCCCCCGACCCCACCCCCACCCCAAAAGGTACCCGCAGCCCTCTGATGGCTCGGGAGGTTCAGGGAGGGGCTGCTCGGGGCTGCAGCACTAGAGTCCCCATCCCTCCTCAATCCAGACCAGACCTTTGGTCTCTACGCATCGTGCCAGGCCGGAAGGTCTCGACCCCTTTCCCCGGCTTCTCCACCTGCGGCCCTGCAGAAGGGAGGGGAGACGGGCCCGGCAGCGGCTCGTGTGAAGTTAATTCAATTCGTCCAGATAACCGAGTTATTCCGATCCTGCCCCTTGGCCCCGCCCCCAAAGAGGTTCCTTCCCGGCTGGGACCAAGAAAGCAGCCCAGGAGGGGGGATGGAGGCAGGGCCGAGGAAGAGACGGAGGCTGGGATGGGGACGTGGATAAGGAGAGGAGACAGAGACGAAGACAAGGAGAGAAAGGGACAAGACAGATACAGGTACACAGATGGAGACAAGGATGACATGGACGAGAGGGAGACTGGAGATGGGGGCAAGAGAAAGACAGAGACAGAGATGGAGACAAAGGTGAAACATGGACTTGAGAAGAGCAGGGGTGGAGATGGGGATAAGTCAGACAGTGGAGACAGAATAAGTGAGACAGAGAGGGGGACAGAGAAAGGGAGGGAGGCGGCATGGAGACAGAGAAGCCACAGGGATGAGACATGGACGGAAACGAGGATTGCGACGAAGATCGGGAGAAAGATGAGACAAAACAGGGCAGCGATAGTGAGACAGGCACAACGGAGGGAGAGTCTCGGAAAGACAAGGCGAGGGACCGACACAGCGGAGGAACCGAGGCTGAGGGGCGGAGAGAAAAGGCCTTCGGAGAGCTGAGACCCACGAGCTGGAGAGCCCAGGAGGGATTGTGGTGCAGGCGCAGCTCGCTGCAGCCGAGGGGGAGGGTCGCCCAGTCCAGGAGGTCCCTCCATCCTCCTGACTTGTCCTGAACCTTCAGGGCCCAGTCTGCCTATCCCCTTCCCAGTTCCCCCAGCTCAGTCCTCCTTCCCACCGCCATCGGATGTGACCCTCTGGCTCCCAGCACCTCAGGCACAGAATGTGTGTGATGAACGTCAGGACATGGAGTAGTGGAGCGACACCTTTTTTCCCCTCAACCTCTCACCTCCCTTCTATAGAGAATCTTTTTTTTCTCCAGTAAAACCGCCGAGACTCAGTCTGGACCTACCCACATACATCCTGGCCCTCCTCAGACTCAGTCACCAACCACATCTATACTGTGGGACCATGGGACAGATTCCTTTCTAGGAGAGAACAGGAAACTCCTCTCCCCAGCAGCTCACCTGAGGTGGATTGGACAGCTTCCCCACCAAACCCCCAGGCTCCTCTACCCACATCTTGGCAGGTCCTGCAGATGGGGGAGTGGAGACCCAGCAAGAAGCCAGGGGAGGTGATGCCCTTATTACCAAACTCCTTGGGTATGAGAGAAGGGCTCCCAAAATACACCCCCACCCCAGTTCACTAGCTAAATGGAGAGCATGCACACCCTCAGAGCATCCGTTTCTCTGGCCACCCATTCTTTGCTTCACACAAGGACTCCTCCATGTCAGGAGGGTTCTTTGAGGTGTTTTCACCAATTACTTTTTAGGTCTAAACTTGTAAAACTGCTTAAAAAGTTCTCCCCACTGATATGTGAGGTTCACCTCTGTCCCTTGACACATCCTCTACGGAGAGCCCAAGGGATCTTAGAATTGGGAAATCAGTGCCACCACTTTCTTTAGACCTCCCATGGCTCTCCGTTGCTCTCAGGAGCAAATCCAAGCCCTCACTCTGAATAGTGCCCAGCACATAGTAAACATATAAATAAATTAGCTACAACCACCACCACCCCTTCTTCCTGTCACTAAGTGACTGAGCCCTGTGTGACTCAGCCCAGACCACACTTGAACAGACATCCATGGCCAGGCTCCTCTGATATGTTTGACCTGATACCTGGATATGTAATCTGGACACAGACCCCTATCTTTGCATGGCAGCATCACCTTTTCCCTGCGGATTTCAGAAGATATTAAGCCCTGCAGAGTTACCCAGTCTGGCCCCTTAATTTTCGCAGGTGAAGAGATTGAGGCCCAGAGAGGAGTCCTGTAGGAAGAGTGAAAATAAAATGGTGGGAGTGTGTCAGAGTGGGAGGACCCCCGCCCCCTGTCAGAAAGCAGCAATGCAAAAAGGAACCTGGGGAGAAGTACAGTGGAAACTGTCCTTTTTCTTCTGCTCTGACCCCAACTTGGATAATAACTTATTCTGTGAGCCTGGACAGTAGAAACACTGAGAATGGATGAGGAGGACCCATGCCCTGGAGGACTCTTCCTGTCTATGGTCTTTTGGAGAATGATAGCTTGGGAGTTCCCAGGGTCCACCGCCTTATTCCCACTTCTATGAACAACAGCTGATCTTAGCCTCCCCTCAGAACTCTGAGCAAGGATCTCCTGGGCTCAGGGCATGGCCACCATGCAGATTTATTAACCCAGTGCACTCCTTGTCAGTGCTCTCCTGTGAGGGGAGAGCACGGACCAAGTGGCTCCTCCCTACCACTGAAATGCATCTTCTCACACTCTGAAGCAATGTCTTCAGTGTCATCATTGTACAACTATGATTGGAAGCCAATCTTGAACAGACATCCATGTCTAACTTCTAATAAGGGATGGACCTTATCTATCAGTGAAAAGTTAACACATTGTCTAGCCCTGCTTAAGGACCCTGGAACTCCTCTCAACCCCAATTATCTACCAACTTCGTAAGCAGAATACACCCCTACCCCACCATTATTCTCTTTTTTTTAAGTTTTATTTATTTTTTTAAATTTTATTTATTTTATCCTCACTTGAGGATATTTTTGCACTTATCTTCTGATAGAGCGGGAGGGACAGAAGGAGAAAGAGAGAGAAATGTTGGTGTGAGAGAGTCAATCAACTGGCTGCCACCCACACGACCCCAGCCGGGGCCGGGCCAAACTGCAACTGAGGTACGTGCTCCTAGTGGGAACCGAACCCCGGACTCTCTGGTCCCCGGGCTGACACTCTAACTGCTGAGCCAAATCAGCCGGGGAAAAATTTTTTTAATTTTTAATCTTCACCTGAGGATATTTTTACATTTATCTTCAGACAGAGTAGGAGGGAGGGAGGGAGAGAGAGAGAGAACATGGGAGAGAGAGAGAGAGAGAGAGAGAGAGAGAGAGAGAGAGAGAGAAAGAACATGGGTGGTTGCCACCCACACGACCCCAACCGGGCGGGACCAACCACAGCCGAGGTATGTTCCCTTGGCCAGAATCGAAAACGGGACTCTTTGGTCCACAGGCCAATGTTTTAACCGCTGAGCCAAACCGGTCAGGGCCCCACCCCTATTCTTAAATCCCTATTTTCTCCTGCTAGGTCTTTCTGGTCCAGGGAGGGTTGGAGGCAAGCACATTAACTCTATACTCTCCCAACCTGTTTATCAGACAGAACCCATAGTCTCCTTTTCTTTCTGTTATGGGAACAACACCTGTTGAGCTTTCTTTTGTTCCCACTAATACATCAGGCTACCCAGTCTGCAACTAATTTTCTTTTTTAAAATATGTTTTTATTGATTTTTTAGAGAGAAATAGAAACATCAACGTGAGAGACATTGACCGGCTGCCTCCTGCATGCCCCCTACTGGGGATCAAGCCCACAACCCCGGGCCTGTGCCCTGATCGGGAATCAAACCAGGACCTTTCAGTCCAAGGGGTGACCTTCCGTCCACTGAGCCATACCAGCTGGGCTAATTTCCTTTTTTTAATCCTCACCTGAGGATGTATTTAGAGAGAGAAGTGAGAGAAAAAGAGAGAGAGAGAAAGAAACCTATTGGTTGCCGTCCATTTGTGTTCCAACTGAGGATCAAACCTGCAAACTTTTAGTGTATAGGACCATGCTCCAACCAACTGAGCCACCCAACCAGGTTAATTTCTACTTATTTTGAGCTTCTGGTCTTAGGCCTTTACAGGTCCCAAAATGTTCAACCTTCAGGGATACTTGAAAAGTGAGGAAAAATCTTCATTCAGTTCTACAAATATTTTTTAAAATGTCTGATCTTTGATGAAACTTCATGGGGCTCTAGACACGTGGGGATAAATTAACCCTGGATGCTTTCTTTAAGGAGCTTCCAGTCTGGTGGGCACATGAGCACTTATCTATAGGAAGGTTCTGTCCAGAATGTTTTAGTTGTCTGGGCAAGAGAATGACACATAGGAGGTGAGGTGATTTTTCTCCTTTAAAAGAAAAAGGTGGGGGTGGGGGTTGACCCTACCAACCATGCCATACGTTGACAAGCTTATCCAAGTTTTTTGTGTATGGGAAGGGACTTGTGCCTTAGGGCTGCCATCATGGACACCTGTGATGTGGTCAGCTCAGCACAACTTTTCTTTTGGGAACTATCTCTTCCATCCACATGGCTACCCAGGGAGCCATTGTTCTTATGTAATCCTATCCTCAGCGATAATTGGTCCAGGTGTGTGTACCTGTCCAGAGATAGTTCAATAAAATCTTTAATCATTTTCTTTCTTGTTTGAATTAAGAAACAAGTAATTTTCTTTTGAATGGTGAAAGCTGTAAGTATAAAGTTCAGGAAATGTTTGCAGCCATGCTATCATCAAAAGAAGAAGGCTTGTCTGCAATGAAGAAAGAATGAATAAACCCTGGCCAGCTTGGCTCAGCAGTTAGTGTCAGGCCGCACATCGATGTTTCTCTCTCTCCCTCCCTCCCTCCCACTCTATCTGATGACAAATGGAAAAATATCCTCGGGTGAGGCTGGGAAGGAAGGAAGGAAGGAAGGAAGGAAGGAAGGAAGGAAGGAAGGAAGGAAGGAAAAGGGAAGGAAGGAAGGAAGGAAGGAAGGAAGGAAGGAAGGAAGG